GTGCTTGCTCATAGGGAGTCATCTCATTGCTGGGGGTTCTCTGTATTATTTCAGGATCTTTATCTTACAATATGAAGCACCTTTAGGCGACTGTTGTTGTGATTTGGCACTATGTAAATGAAACTGAATTGAATTGATAAAATGCATACAATGTAGCATATGATTAAAACTCAAAATACAAGATCCAAGTCAGGATGTTGGAGTGATGCTTGCCATGCTATTCCTTTTTGGATTAGTCACACAGTCACAGCCGCATTGTGCAGTGTCCCGACTGCCTGCCTCACCCTGTGCTTCCCCCTAACTCTGCACAGTCCTTATATAGACACATATCCACTCAGGGGCAAACATCAGTCAGTAAACTCAAACAGCTATGTATACACATGCGTGGTGGCATTCCTTTTAATACAAGCAGGCAAATATTAGTAGACACACATGCATTCCAGTTCAAATATTTTAATATGATGTGTGTTCATGCATAATGCTAATGCTAAAACACACAAAGGTGTATTGACTGTTAAACACTGTTAATCAGCTGCAGAGAAAAAACTGAAGAAAATATTGATACATAAATACAACACCATCAAAATGTTTTGTAGCTAAAACACTAAATCCTTAAATTCAGGTCTCTGACAAGATCCAAAACATATTTACTCTTTTACTTAACAAAAACCCTCTATGTTTATTATTTAAATATTTCTGACTTTGGCAACCATAAATAGTGTGGGAGTAGGGCAAGTGTGGAGAGGCTTAGGATTTATCATTTAATAATGACCAAAGAGTATTTATGTCAGGTTAGGTAGGGGTGGAGAGAGGTCGCAAATGCAGGACTCTTAATGGTGATGTAAACCCAGAAACACAAAGTTCAAATGTGAAACCAAAATAGGTCCAAAAACCGAAACACAAGGACTAGTGAAACACATGGAGGGGACATAGGGAGGCTTTATAGACATATACATGAGGGGCATTGAAGATTTGGCACAGACTGAAACTTATAACAATCTGAAAGGAGGGAAAGGAACAAAAGCATAACAAGATTTGAGAGAAAACTAAGTAAAACAGGAAATAACTGAAAGACAGAAAGACTAACACCGAGACACGAAGACTGACACTAAACATTATGGCAGAGACAGAGGAACACAAACGCAGAGAAATAAGAGGTACCAAAGAAAAAAGAAACCCAAGAAACCCATCAAATACAACAGGAACCAACTCAAATACATTACAAAACCATAAACATTCATTTTGTTTAGAATTAAGTGAAATTCATCCTAACTAGTACGGGTATGTCACCACCTAATTTAGCAACAACGGCAAAAAAGATCACAGACTTCTCTAAGTTTTATTATATTAAAATTACAGTGACTGCAAATGAATCTTAAGTGCAATATTCATTTATTTCCCAAAGCTTTCATGCAATTTGCAGGACCATTAAACTAAATTGGAATCCAGTACACAAGAGAAGGACGTCAGGAACTGTCCATGTGCCTCTATCATCATCATCATCATCATCAAAGCCCTGTTTTTCTCTGTTCCCACTCTCCCAAAATGAAACCCACTCAAAAGTCCTGATGACTCTGTGACTGCTGCCCACTCAATGCCCACACCCCTCTCCACCCATGCACTAAAACATTGAAATCCAACAAACACAAACATTTTACAGTTTCACGCTGACGGGAGGAAAGAGGGCCCCTATCCCGTAACCATGGAAGTGACGTATCCACACGTCTTGCCTGAAGTTACTATCTAGGCCAGCAGCCATCGGGTAAATGCTCTCACTGCTCTTCCTTTCTAAAAAAAAGTGCCATTGAATTTAAACACAAACGTTCAATTAGGGGGTGTTTGTGAATGGCACAGGCCCCAGGGTCTGGAATTTGATGTGTGCGTGCGCACGTGTTTGAATGAATGTGTCTATCTCGACATACTCTGTTTGTGCTTGCCTGTACGGGTGCGCCCTTGCGGTTGTGAGTGTGACAGAGAGGCTCCGGCTGACGCCCCAGGATGCCTCAGCTCAGTAGGGTCGATGATGCCATGCAAAATTAATGGAAGCTAAGAGGCTGGAAAACTGAGCTAAAATAGACTCTGCAATCAATTTTTCCCCTCTGACCTTAATTAAATTCAGATGAATTAAACTGAAACCTCTAAAACACAACAGTTTTCTCCCCCGGTGGGTATGTATGACGGTGGTACCCACAGATAATCAAACAGGGTTAGTTTACTTTTGTTCATTTTCTTGTGTTTTGGGACACTAAATGGTCACGGTGGAGGTGAAGCAGGAAGACGCTGGGTGCACTGCATGAGCGGTCATCACTGTCCATGGGGTGTATTGTAAGGGTTTTGCATGTGGATGTGCATGTGCTTCCTGGGATGCCTGAAGGTGTAAGGAGGGCGGGTGGATGGTGTCGCTCATGCAGCTCACCTCAGCGTCGCCTCAACCAAACACAACATACCAGCCAAGCATGATAAACAGCAGAGCTTTTAAACCACTGAAATGGCTGCTACTACAATTATTTTTGTCACCAGCATTTTTCTGTAATCACTTTTTGTTTATAACACACTCTAATGAAGATAGGTGTAAACTGATTATCATAGATTATTGTATTTGTTTCTAATATAAAACTTTTAGTTGTAAATATTTTCACAAATGCTAGAAATTACAACCTTTTTATTACATGCTTACATTATGATAGCATTCGAGTGTTTTTTTTAAACTAGTCACAAAATATTATATAGGCTGTATACTAAATGTTATGAATGTTTTATTTTGCTTATGAATTTTAGATTGAAGAGGTTAAAGTGAAGAATTATCATGCATTATGGATGCTCACCATATTATCCATATTATTGCAATTTTCAAATCTAGCTGACCTTTTAATTCCTTAGCCACTCAGGCTTATAGAAGAGCCAGTGTGACAGAAGTGTGCCAACCCCTGGTATTCAGAGGCTGCAAGGGGAAAATGTGTGTTTCCCAGTTGGCAACTGGTTGCTGGAGGTTGCTGGAGGTTGCTGGCTGTCATTAGGTGAAATTGGTCACAAATAGCATGCTGGATCAAAAACCTCCTTACAGTTGCTTTGATTGCACCAACATGTTTCAAAAGGGTGCTGCAACTTTAAAAAACAACTTTTACTTTGAAGCTAAACATTTTCTTTTTCTCTGTTTTTAGTGTTGCACTTTCTCAGCTCTGCAAGTAAGTTGAGTATTTGCAGATATCTTTAAGACATCTTACCTGCAAACTAGGGCTAACTATGGCAATCTACTAGCAACCAAGGAAATCACAAGGAGGCTGTTGGTGCAGTACTGTATATCTCTTTATGACCAATTTCACTGTCAGCAACTACTCGTCAACTAACAAAGAATATGCATTTTTCTCTAGCAACCTGTAGTTGCCAGGGAGTCCCTGACTTGTCTTTAGACCTGCATAACTGAGGCTGTTGCAACCGATTTCCCAGCAACTGCCAGCAACCATTCACCAGTCGGGAAATACACAGTTTTCCCTAGTAACTGGTGATTGCCAGAGTGTCAAGGACCGGTTTCTCTGTGACTGGTCCCAAAACGTGAATGAACCTTGAATATATACTCATCACAGCAAAACTTATGTTGGTTTCATGGCAGATAGGTGGGGGAAAATGGTTCTTGCTACTTAAACCTTAACAATTGTCGCTTTATGTTTCCAGTAACCTGTGGCAGGTAAATTGAATTCAGTCATCATTATTTCACAATTCTGATCAAGATGACACAAGATTTAGCTGAGATTCTGTTTCAGTGCACGAAATTAAAGGAAAATCAATGAATGCCCATAGTGAGCAGTTCACTTGCATTTTATTTTTAAACATGGATAAAATACATATTAAATCTTAAACGCTTATACATGGTCACACAGAGCTCCCACACATACATAAATTCAAGTGAACTTTTTGTTCCATTCAGGGTGCCGATCTGGCACAATGGAGCCCCCCACACACATTCACACGTACACTGATATATGCACAAAGCATCTGTCAGCTTCCCATGCTCTACACACAAGAAAGGGCATTTGGCCTTCTACGCTTGTGAAAACCTAAAATTACATTACATGCATTTTCATTTATATTTTGCTGTTTTGAGTATATCCTTATTTCACCTCTCACACCTGTGCTCTTCTGTCCAAGCACTGATAAATGTCAGTTCACAGTTAACCATTAAGTGCAGACAAAAAAATCAATCAATCAATCAATCAATACCTATCTTTACTTTTATGTATTATTTGATGTAGTACTGATTGTATTATTTTTGGAAGTCATTAGATCCAACTTTAAAAGAAAAAGAAAAAGGTAAACACAGCAGCAGTTTGGTCCTTTAAAGCACCACAGTAGAACATGACAATTTGTTTCCATGCATGAAATTAAAGACAAATTAAAACTTATGAAAAATGTGTTGAGCCAACGCTCATTTTTGTTTTCTTTAAGTTTGTAGCTAGAATAGGAATGTTAGTATTGGATGATTCAGTAAAATAAATATTTAGGTTCAGTGCCAGTGCTGACGTCTCAGAATCATGAATCATGAATTAATTTTTCTGAAAAATACACTATGGCGAGTGTGTCTCACTGAAAAACTCTTGAAAAATGCTTGGTCAACATTATGGAAAATGTGGGTTTTAATAATGTAAACTACTGAATAGTGGCTGGATGTAGCCATATATCGATTTGCCACTCCAACCTCCACATTCTTTCCTTGCCTTGGTACATAAAGCACAAAATACTAAACTAGCACTGAATGCTGGCATTGGGCATAAATTGTTAATACAGAATAACTTAATATGGAACGATTGGTAATCTGTTTGCTGAAGAACCCTCGTGATAAAGAAAGTCCACTCTTTTCTTTTGCAGAAAGTTTAAATGAACTCAGAAGCAGTTCTCGACCAATAAGCAGGGTTGTAACTAAAAATCAGACTGATGGTTGATTGATTTCTTTGGTTCTAACTGTAATTTATTCCCCCACTCCTCCTCCACCCCTTCTTGGGTAGGATGATCCTAATTCCCAGAACAAGCTGGAGGACCCGGTGAAGGCCCCGCCCAAGGAGGATGACTCCCTCAACATCCACAACTCTCTGACCCCCAAACACGAGAACCACAAGGTCCTGGGCGAGGAGAACTCCTCGGAGGTAAACTCACTGCAGAACAACATGATGTGAAACAAAACAACCCCAGCAACCCATCAGTCCAACATCGAAAAACGACAAGGTGCGCCGGCAATGGGTGCCCGCAAACCCCTCCCTGCTCGCTGTCCATCCGCTGCCGTGTGCACCTAAGTGGTCCAACCAACCAACCAATCAGCCAGCCTGCCAGCCAGCCAATATACCAGCCAACCAACACAGTCTGTACCCGTTTCCAACACGGCAACACTGCCACAAAGCGGCCCCAAGTCGCCGCAAAAATCATACACGACCATCGCCGCCGTCACTGCCCCAGGTGAAAGTAACCCCACCCCCACCAATTGCACCCTGCCGCTGCCCTGCAACACCCCCCTACATCCAGCCACACCCCTGTTTCGCATCCCCTTGTTACCCCCTTGTTGCTGTCACTCTACTGTCCCTTATCTTTCTTACCTACACACACACACACACACACATACACACATAAGAAGCATACACCCACTGTGAAAAGATGACGACATAGCCACACTTATATGTATACATACACACACACATAGACACACCCTCCCCCTGCCTGCATTGGTGTATTTTGTAAAAAGAAAGAAATCATACAGAAGTTTAAAACATACGTAAAACGTCAATGTAAAAAAAAAAAAAAAGTTAAGATAAAGCTACTGAGAGGTTTTGATGTTTGTCTGACTAATCCAGTGAGTATGTATAAATATTGGAGAAAAAATGCTTGGATTGATTTAAAAGAAGCAACACAATGTGTCTTGGTTTTCATTGATGTGATTTCTAATCCTTTGATGTACTTGTTTTTTTGTTTGTTTTTTTGTACTTTTTTGGGATTTCGAACAGAGAATAAACAAACAAGATTCAGACAGTTGTTGAAATAAACCTTTTTAACATGACCTCTTTGGGTCCTGTGTTTTACCTCAGTGTCGCCTCCCCCTTTTCTTACCCCTGAATTCCAACGCTCTGTGCATGGCTTTGAACGCAGCTTCTTCAGTCCTTGTCATAAATGTACTTCCTTGGTTACGCAGTCAGGTTGGGGAGTCTGATCCGCTTCACTACAATTAATAGTTATTTTCAAAAAGCACAGATTATGTCTAATATTGATATTTAGTATCACATATAAGCCTAAGTGGCTGTTAGATGCTGACATATATTTCACAAGAAATCACAGCTCCACCTATTAGCTTTCACACACATCCCATGGCCTTAATCTGTAGACTGAGGTGTCTCAGTCATCCTGGTTTAAGTGGTGTGCCTTGAATATAACTGCAAACTTTATGTAGCGACTGAAATAGTTTGATTTGCTGTAGGCGAAGAGGACGACCTTTGTTCCTGTACGGGTCATTGTGATTTTCTAACCTTAGTGTAAAATTTCAAAAACAAACAAACAAAGAATTTTTTAAAATTTGTGATTTCTGTAATTTAACAAAATTTAGCAGAAAGCTCTTTAAGGTAGGATGGACGTTAGGGTGGGAACAAAACACCAGGATTTGAATGATAAATTCTAGGACTATACACACCAGTCAATCCTGAGGTATGATGTGTGTAATCTAGTTTATTCCAGACAAATATAAATAAAAGTAGAGTTGTAGATGAAAAGGAAGTTGGAGGAAAAGGTGGGTTAATTGTTCCATAATTGTGTTTTTTGATGCTGTAGGAAGTTTCAACATGTAAGATTTTGACATTAACAAAAACATTTGATGCAGAAATTGCTTATTTTCTATTACAAAGATAGATGGATGAAAATAAAACATCAGAGATGTGACGATGTTACTGGCATTTTGGTCCACTGTTACAAAAATTGCCCTCACAGCACATAAATCATGACAACAAACACCAGGAACCAGTCTGCTGCTTTTGCATGCTTCCTGCCTCCAGAGACGCTTCCCTGTTTCCAGCTGGACACACACACCATGCAGACATGCTCACGCTTGTGAATAAATAACACTTCGGGATGAAAACCCCCCACATCTGCTGCATTCACATGTACCGTAAAATCTGCTATAGACAAAAAACAGTGCAATACAAAGGAAATTATTACGATGGCTTTTGGTTGACAAAATATTTTTATTTTTTATTTTTCAGACAGTTCTTAAAAATAATCCCTCAATGTTTACACACAATTCCAGTGTTTCAGCTCTACTTTAGTAAATCTTGTATTTTTTT